CATGGTGGCGCTGTACAAGTCTGGGGCTGCTGAGTGGCGCTTGTTTTATGTGCCTGGAGAAACACTGTCATTTAGCTCATCCCAAGTCCTGGGGCTCTTGACCCTGGAAGCACAGCCATTCTCCAGGGATTAACAGAGCCCTTCTCACAGCGATGTGTTCTTCTGAGATGTGGGATATAACTGTATGTCTCCTTGGCTCAGGAAAACGGTCAACTGGAAACTAGATGAGGAGCAGCAGTCCCTTTCCATGGCCAGCACATCTGACACAAGAGGATCCCAGAACAGCAGCACAGAGCCCTGCCTACGAAGCCCGCTGAACCAATAGCAACCACAAAAACCACGTGATGACACGTCCCTACATAGAAGGTCATGGTGACAGCCCCTAGGCAGTGATGTGTGGCCTTGGACTGGTGGAAATATCCTGTCCACCTTAGGTGACTTGCTTCTAGCTCAGGCAGTGTAAAACACTTGGACTCTTCTTGCAGCACTAATAATCTGGAATCGCATGTAGTAGAGATCTTAAAAAATTAAAGGCCATGCTTAAGCTTAAAATGAAGCCTTAAGCTGCACACGTTGTGAAGTGATTAATTTCCCTCTCAACAAACCTCTTGCAGGTTCTGAAATACATCCTTCCTGACATGTGGTCTTCTCTAGGACCCAGGGACAGCACACCCCAGCAGCACCATCCTCCCTGACAGGCTCTGCTGAGGTATCTGTCACCCTCCTTGGAGTTGATTTGCTTTTGTTTTATTGAAGGTTCCAAGCAGCTGGAGAGTGGGTGCTAGGGCCCTGGGAGGCACACTTGTGCAACACAGTCCCTTTATCCGCTTCATCTCGGATGTCAGCTTGCCTGACCGCTCATTGGATTGTTCTACTTGGGTGTGGGGGTGTTTCCTGCCCTTTGACCGAAGTTTCCGTGGTCATTGGGACAGCCTTCAGCGTCTGGAGACCCAGCGCTTTGCCAGCCAGGGCTTGGTTCTCCCCTCTTCCACTGCTGACATTTGATTTCCTAAGTGTAAATTACTAAGTGGTAAGAATCATTGTCTTTTCCTGTATGAATGTTAAGAGGGGAAAGCAGTGTCATCGGTGAAGATTCTCCACTGTGTAAAGCAACCTGTTTCCAGCCTCTGCTGGTGGCATGTTGCGGTTTCTGTGTTCCAAGATCCCGGAGCTAGTGTAAGACAGGCTAATGAAGAACTTTCTCTGTAGTTTCTTTCTTTTCCTTTATAATTTACAAAAGTAAAGCATTTCTTAGTGTCTGATTTAATGTAAAGTGATTCTGTATCAATGTAAATAAGAGGATCTACTACAAAAGATATTTAAAACCAAAATTGTGGTCATTTCTTCTTTGAGAGTTCAAACTAGCTTCTGCAGGTGGCCCAGCAGGAGCAACAGGGAAGTCATCTGGCAGCATCTGCTAGTTCAGATTTCTCTCCCAGCGAGCAAGGTGGACCTAGTGCACTGACAACCCAGATCCCCTACTTCCATTTCCAGAACAGTCCCTTGCCCTGAGACAACGTTCCTGTGAGCAGACTCTTGAACCTGGTAGATTGGAGAGCTCTGCTGAGAAATGTGCATGTGTTCTCTGCCCTTTGCTGATTTTCTACTTTTCAGTCTTTGTTTTGCTATGTAGCCCAAGCTGAAACTCCTTTTGTGAAGGCAGTACCTGGTATTGATTCCAGGAACTTGGGTATGCTAGGCAAGTGTTCTACTGCTGAGCTATTCCCTCATCTGCATTTTCCTATATTACATTACAAAAAAATGTATAGGTGTTTGTCCACACATGTCTATGCACCACTTGCATAGGTATCCACTGAGACAAAAGGAGGGTGTTGTATCTTCTGGAACTGAAGTTACATCGTGTTGTTAGCTACTATGTGGGTGTTAGGAACTAAACCCAGGTCCTCTCAAAAGCAGCAAATACTCTTAACCACTGAGCCATCTCACCAGTGCCTAATTTTAAACTTTTTGGGCCTGGCAAGATGACTCTGTGGGTAAAAGTGGTTGCCACCAAGCCTGATAGCCTGAATTCAATTTCTGGGACCCATATGTAAAAGGAGAGACCCAATTCCCACAGGTTGATTTTTTTTTTTTTTTTTTTTTGCTTATTGCTATCTGGGTCTGGTGGTGCATGCATTTAATCCCAGAACTTGGAGGCAGGGGTAGCTAGGTCTTTTTGACCAATTCCAGACCAGACCAGCCCGGGTTATACACCAAAACTCTGTCTAAAAACATGTGTTTTGTTTATTGTACTTTAACTAGTCCAGGGTCCAGCAAAGCCTTAGTGGCTTTTGAGATGAGCAGAGAGAGATATGAGAAGATTTATTGGGCTGTGTGGGGAAGAGTTTGGGGAGAGCTGGTGAGTAAAAAAAACTCTAGAGTAATATTCTCTTAACTTGAGTACCTACCACTGTTTTGCAGTAAATTATTCATTGGCTGCCTGCTGTGGGCATGCAGTGTGGGCGAGGTGCCACACTAGACATTGGGATGCAGCAGTGGACTAGACAGTCTCCTCAGGAAGGTACAGGTTCCTTTCTGAAGAAGTCAGCCAGGTCTCAGGGGCTAGGAAGAGACTTGCAAGAGGAAGGGGGGTCTTTTGGCTCAGGCATCATTGTTGGTTTGCTGAGGATCCTTAGGTAAATAAAAGGTGGCCAGGCAGCATCATAGAGTGAAGTCTTAGCTCCAGGCCTAGGTGGGCTTATTTCTACACGTAGCTCCTGAGGCATTTGTTTTTACACATCTTTATAGCCTGAGTTGGGATTGGAGCATCATATGGGAGATGGAAGCAGAAATTCAAGGCCAACCTCAGCAACATAGTTTAAGACCAGCAGGCTACATGAGACTGTGGAAGACTGGTTGTCCCCTCTGTGTGGGTCCTCGGCACCTCCTTGCTTCCTGGGGGTACAGGGGGTTTCCTGTGCTGTTTTTGGCCACCACAAGAATACTGGCCAAGGTCTGCAGTTGTCTGTAGAGAGTAACTTGATGTCAGGTACTCAGAATGGAGGAAGAGCCTACGCCTCAAGACATTTAGCTATAGCAGGAGATGGGAAAATGAAGAGGTGAACATTACTGTCTTATTTTGGTGAAACGGCTTGTAACACAAGGTGTTTTGTGTGCGGTGCACATAATTTGTGACTCAGAACGAACAACCTGAAGAGCAGTATGTGGCATTCCACTCAGCTTCATTTGAGATTTAGGGTGTTCCCACTGAGCTTTGCGATGGAGGCTACCATTCAGAGGAACACGAACCGAACTGAAGGGCAGGTGGAGATTAGTAGGGGTTTGGCTTGGTGTGGCAGATAAAATGTAGGGAACGAAGTGTTAGGCACTATTTTGTACTAGTGACTTGACCATGTCTTTACAACAGCCTAGTAGGTGTGCACCAGAGAAGTAAATACCAGGGGAGGGGCAGTGTATGACCCTGATCCTGCGGCTCACCGGTGAGCTGGCTGGTGCTCAGCCTCCACTCTAGCTTGATTTAGGCAGGCTTTCCCAGGGTTAGGCGATGTTGACTGTGGTTACTGGAGCATCATAGAGCAGCACATACAGACAACCTGTTGTGCCTCCTGACCTAGTGGGCTCAGAAGTCTATTCTCGTTACTGTCTGCTCCCTTCTACTCTGCTGGGAAGGCTCCTGCCCTTCCCCAAAGACCTCAGCATAGCTACTACCCCCTGAGGCTAATGTTGTCCTCACTGATTAATTGCTCATCTACTTACAATTTTCATTCTTTTGGTGCTGGGGATGAAACCTAGGGCAACGTGCATTCATGCTCTACCTCTTCTTCTTCTTTTTTTTTTTTTGGTTTTTCGAGACAGGGTTTCTCTGTGTAGCTTGAGAGAGAGAGAGAGAGAGAGAGAGAGAGAGAGAGAGAGAGAGAGAGAGAGAGAGAGAGAGAGAGAGAGAGAGAGATTCCTCAAGATTCCTCAAGGCAGACAGTATAAATTGTCTGTTTAACCCATATTTTAAGGTGTGGCACAGTAAATTGTCAAAGACATGCCTCAGTCAAGAGTCTGGGAGAATGCATTTGATGGGATCACTGCTCCCTTTCCTGCTACAGGAGTCTGATGTCAGGGAAGGACAGTAAAAAGATGGTGTGCCAGTGGTTAGACTTGACCATTCACGGGTGGGAATTCACAGACCTATCATGCTGGTCTTAGCCACCTCATCTCCATGTCTGTTCTTTTTGTATGGGTGTGTTGTATGCATGTGTACATGCTATACACGTGTATAGGTGAACATGCCTGTGTAAACATGAAGGCCAGAAGCTGATGTTGGATGCTCTCCTTTCATCACTCCCCCACCTGATTTTGTGAGGCAGGTCCGGCGCTCACTGGTTCAAGTTAAGAGTAGTGAGCCAGTGAGCTCCAGAGACTTCCTTCTGTTGTAGATCCACACCTGCCTGTTTTTATAAGTGGGTGCCAGGGATCAAACTCGGGACCTCACGCTTGCACAGCAAGCACTTCACAACTAGCCATCTCCCAGCCCCGTTTCTCTTTTCAGGCCCCTTTGGTGGTTATTTCTAGCTTGGCTACATCTGTCCAGAGCTCTGGTGAAGAGCGAGAAAGGAACAAGGGTCCAGGACTTCTGCATTAGTCGTCTGTCCTCATTCAGAACGAATGCACAGGTGGCCTCAGTGCCTCTAGCCCTGCCTGGTGGGGCGGGGGGAGGGTCGTCAAAGGCATTGCTGCTGGTGGCTGGCTGAGGTTCTACTCCCTGATTCCCTGTGGACCATGCATGTACACTGCTCAGGGCTGAGGGTGGAGTAACTTCATTATTTATTTATTTATTTTGGTTTTTCGAGACAGGGTTTCTCTGTGGCTTTTGGAGGCTGTTCTGGAACTCGCTCTGTAGACACTTCATTATTTTAAAGACACCAAGTAAGCCCTTGTGCCCACTCGGTGCCTCCTACTGGCATTTCCATGCCATCAGGGCCCATTCATTCAGTGGCCACTCCAACTCACTTCCCACAAACAGAGGCCTTTTCTTTTGGGAAACCGTCTGCAAGAACAATGGTTTTATTTGGGAAAAAAACAATACCACAAAAGAAAAGACGGTTGTACCTCTCATTCCCCAGATGAGGGCTTCAAGGTCACAGCTGTGCAAAGTCCCCTTTGTGCTGCTCCAACCACTGGTCCAATGTCCGGGCCTTGGGGTTGAGTTTCAGGGTTAGATTAATGTTCCGGTCGGGTTTCAGGGCATAGAAACGGAACATGTTGGCCAAGTCTCGGGCCCCCCGGAAGCCAAGCTTCTCGTATTCCTCAGGAGTTGTCTGGAAACAAAGAGCCCACATGTCTGCCTCCTTCACAGCCACAGCGATACCAGGTAGGCTTGGCTTCCTCCCAAGTCCTGGGAAGCCAGGGTATAGCTATGCTGGCTCTTACTATGAGGCCATGTGAACACTTCCAAATGGAAAGACAGAGGTGTGGAAACCATGGCTTCTCACAGGTACTGATCCTTCCGAAGTCATGAAATGAAAGCCGTCAGTGCCTTTCAGAGCTGAAACCAGTTGTATCACTTCCTTGTTCAAAAGCCAAAACTATCCCTTTTTTCTTCCAAACCCAACCTGAGCTCTTGAGCTCCTCAGGTCCTCCACAACCCTGACTGAATCCCACCTCTTTTAAAACCACATGGCCACTTAGTGTACTTTTTATTACTTATCCACCCCTACCCCCGCAGGCAGGTTCTCTGTGCAGCCCTAGCTGTCCTGGAACTCGATCTGTAGACCAGGCTGGCCTTGAACTCACAGAGATCCACCTTCCTGTCTTAAGAAGCAAACACACTCCTTTTGAGAGTTAGGGCCGTCACAGCTTTGGGGAGGGAGGAACCCACCTTGGCGTGATGCACGGGCTTGCCAGTGTGTCTGGTGAGCAGGGCAGCATACTCCTCTGCAGTGTGCTTGCAGGTGCTGAGCCCGATGTTCTGCCCTACATACTCTTCTGGTTTCTTCAGTAAGCTGAGCACCACGGGGCCCAGGTCACTCACTGCCATTCCATCCAAGGGGACATCACCCATGGGCAAGTCTGTGAGAACAGATAAGTGTGCTAGCAGGGACAGGGTTCCTCGGGGGAAGGGATTTGCAGCTGGTTTTCCCAGCAGGCAGCCCTCTGAGCTCCCACACATACTAGTGTGGATGTGTAGTACCAGCAATAAGTTCTGCAAACTGTAAGTGTGCCAGATCGGACTCCTGAACTCTGTGCCAAGTGTCCTCACAAGAAGGTGAGTGACAGACAGCTTTGGCCTCCAGTACATCCTGCTCTAGTCCACTAACCAACTGGCAGGACCCAAGTTGGCTGAGGTTCCTTCCAAGCTGGGTCAGGCATCCAGTTTGTCTACAGACTGGCCAGCAGACATGTCTACACCCCCGCCTCCTGTTCTGAGAGCAGTCATAACCCTGGCTGGTTTTCTCATTACTCCAAGGGACCATTGTGCTAAACCCATTTCACAGAATTTTAAGTCAAGGCCTCCTTAAATTAAATGACTCTCCCAGTCTCAAGCCTAATCCCAAGGAGCCTGGGCTTAGGCCCAGAGTGATCCAGTGACAACCCCACTTTCAGCCACACCTGTCGTTCCATATGCTGTGAACTCTGTTTCAATGTGTGGGGTAAGACACTCACCCAGCAAGTAGCTCTCTCCATCTGCAGCTTTCTGGGGCAGGAAATAGGAAAGGAGGTTCTCAAAATAGCAAGGGAGCCGCACACTGGTCATGGGAACACCAATGTCTCGGAAATATTCCTCCACCTCCCCTTTGCCATCAAAGTGGCCTGCCGCCAGCCTTCCCGCTGTCAGCTTCCTGATGTTCTCCAAGCCACTGTAGACTACATAATGGAGGCCTAAGCGTTTGGCTAGATCTGCCAGAAGCTTGCCCTGGGAAGCAGGAAGGAGAGACTGCATGGGTAAGAGGAAAGCTGTGTGTTCCTGACCCTCCTCCCCTACACATGAATTAATTCCATGGCTCCCCCACCTGTGATGCTAAAAGCCAGACCTACCTACCCCAAGGAAGCCCTCTGCTCTGGAATAATGCTCAGATACAGCACCACACTAAGCTTTCAAACTCACTACAGGGTTTCTAAGTGAGGTCAGATGGAAAGCCTGGAAGATCAGGAGTTCAAGGCCAACCTCAGCCACACATGCCCCTATCTTAAAAAAAGCAAAAGAAGAAGAAAAATGTAAAAAGAGAGCCAGGCTGCCTTGGGAAGTGGTACCTAGAAGCCCTTTTGATGTGTATACCCCATTTTTGCTGACTGAAGAACTTAGCTGCCTTCACTGGAGAGATCAAATTCATCTTTGGAGATGTTATAGCTTGATGGCTAAGCACAAAGGCCACTCAGGTCCATCTGGGCTGTGTGACCCAGGACAAATAGTTCATCCGCTGTGACCCTACTGGTTAATAAACAATGATCCATGCCATTAATGTTGGGAATATGTAATCACAGCCTCCCAAAAGATCTGCCCATACCTTACCCCTGCAAACTTGTAAATGTGACTTGATTTGGGGACAGGGTCTTTGTAGATAATATTAATAGTCTTGACATTTGATCATCCTAGATCAATCACACAAATCCTAAATATGCTGGGCATTGGTGTAGCAAGCCTTTAATCCCAGCACTCAGGAGGCAGAGGCAGGAGGATCTCTGTGAGTTTGAGGCCAGCTTGGTCTATAGAGTGAGTTCCAGGACAGCCTCCAAAGCAATATAGAAAATCCCTGCCTCAGAAAAAGAAAAAACAAACCACCATCACCACCAACAACAAAATCAAAATCCTAAATACAAAGTAAATATCCTCCTAAGAGAAGAGAGCCAAGTGTCTAGAAAGGTGGCTCATTAGTTAAGAGCACTGGCTATTCTTCCAGAGAATCCAGGTTCATTTCCCTGCACCCATATAGTAGCTCACAAATGCCAGTAACTCCAGTTCCAGGGGGATCTGATGCCCTCTTCTGGCCTGTGAGCAATGCATGCAGGAGGTGCATAGACATACATTCAGACAAGACACCTGTGGTGGTCTGAATGAGGACAGCCCCCATAGGCTTGAATACTTGATCCCACTGGTAGGACTGTTTGGGAGGAATTAGGAGGCTTGGCTTTGTTAGAGAAGGTGTGTCACTGGGGATGGGTTCCAAAAGCCCATATGTTCCTAAGTAGCTCTCTTTGGGCCTTGTGCCCCAGTGCCATGCCTCCCTGTCTGCTGCCATGCTTCCCACCGTGATGATCATGGACTCAAGCCCTCTGGAACCATGAGCCCTAATAAACATTTTCTTTTATAAGTTGCGTTGTGGGGGCTGGAGAGATGGCTCAGTGGTTAAGAGCACTGGCTCTTCTTCCAAAGGTCCTGAGTTCAATTCCCAGCAACCACATGGTGGCTCACAAACATCTGTAATGAGATCTGATACCCTCTTCTGGTGTGCAGGCTTAAATGCAGGCAGAACACTGTATACATAATAAATATCTTAAAAAAAAAAGTTGCATTGGTCATAGTGTCCCTTCATATCAATAGAAAATAACATACACAGCCAGGCGGTGGTGGCGCATGCCTTTAATCCCAGCACTCGGGAGGCAGAGGCAGGCAGATCTCTGTGAGTTCGAGGCCGGGCTGGACCGATAGCCTCCAAATCAATACAGAGAAACCCTGTCTCGTAAAAACTAAAAAGAAAAAAAAAGAACATACACAATACCATAAACATAAAATAAAAATAAAACAAAATAATAATAATAAGCCAGGCATAGTGGCATATGGCTATAATCCTAGCATTCAAGATTACAGGTTCCTGGCCCAGTTGGGCTACATAGCAAGACCCTGTCTCATCCCTTCCTGCCAAAATAAAGCATACAAGAAGAAGCCAGAATATGGAGGCATACACTGGCATGATACATAAGCTTAGGCCCACCCAGAGCCATGGAAGCTAGACAAGCTGGAGAAGCATTCCTCCTGAAGTGTCTGAAGGGATTGTGACCTTACTGGCACCCAACTTTTAGAACTGTAAGACAATTTCTGTGCTTTGGGCTACCTGGAGTGTGGTTATTGTAGCCCCAGGGGGAACACAAGGGTTTCCCAGGATTGAGGACACAAATCTGTCTCAACCAGATCCTTGTCCCATGTGCTGTAAGGATGTAGTGTTTGCCTCTGCAGGGGCTCAAGAGCTAGGGAGAGGGTGTGTCCTCCATCTGTGTTTGAAGAGCAACAAGAAAAGAGCAGGGTCTGGAGTGCTCAGCCCTACCTGGCAAGTCAAAGTTGCCCTCTGGAGGAGCTGGGGCCCACGGTCTTCTCACACCCTCACCTGCTTGACTTCCCGGTCCTGGCTGCACTGCTCCCAGTAGTTGGTCACAATGAAGGTGGCATGAGCTCCTGTCAGTGCCAGCTCCATGCTAGGCTCGTCATCCTGGTCTCCTTGCACTACGTCAGCACCTTGCAGCTTCAGCTCTTGGGCTGCTCTCTGCTCTGGGTTCCTCGTTACCACTCGTACCCTGAATGTCCCATCTTCCAGCAATGCGCGTGCCACTGAGCCCCCTTGGGCACCTAGGAAGAGTAAGGTCACAGCTGCCAGAGTTACGGAGAGAGTAGACAGAGCCCAGACGGGATTGCTCCCCAGGGCAAAAAATGCCCAGAGACAGGTGAGTGTTGTCAAACTACTTTTAGGCTTCTAGATTTTTGGGGAGGTTGCTTCTCACTGTGAAGCCTAGGTTGAGCTGGAATTCAGATGTAGACCAGGCTGGCCCTGATCTCACAGAGATTCCCCTTGTCTTTGCCTCCCAAGTGCTTGCATTAAAGAAATGCCCTACCAAACTTGGCTTCTTTACTAGTTTTTTTTTGTTCAGAGACTTTGAACTTTTTTCTTCTGATCTCTTTCTCCAGAATGTTGGGAATACAGGCATGAGCCACCACAGCATGAGGTTTACCTTTTTTTAAAAATTTTTTTTGAGACAGGGTTTCTCTGTATTGTTCTGGAGGCTATCCTAGAACTCACTGTATAGACCAGGCTGGCCTCGAACTCACAGAGATCCACCTACCTCTGCCTCCCGAGTGCTGGGATGGGATTAAAGGCGTGCACCACCAACGCCCGGCCACCTTTTATTTTTAAGATTTATTTTATGTGTATGAGTGTTTGCCTGTATGTATGCATGCATGCATATATAGCACATATGCTCTTGGTGTCCATGGAAACCAGAAAAGGGCATTAGATCCCCTAAAACCAGAGTTGCAGACAGTTGTGATTGGCCCAACATGGGGGCTGGGAACTAAACTAAGGGTTTCTGTAAGCATCTCTTTGCCTTTTTTGGGGTTTTCTGAGACAGAGTTTCTCTGTGTAGCCCTGGATGTCCCAGAACTCACTCTGTAGACCAAGTTGGCCTCAAACTCAAACTCAGAAACTCTGCCTCCAGAGTGCTGAGATTAAAGGCATGCGCCACCATGGCCCAGCAACATTTTCGAACCAGGCAGTGGCCAGTCTACCTATTGTCCCAGCTCCTCCAGGGACTGATGAGGAAGGGCAGCTTGGACCCAAGGAGTTTAAAGCTAGCTTGTCTGGATGTCACAATCCACCTTAAAAAAGGAAAATTGGGCCAGGTATGATAGCATACACCTTTAATCCCAGCATTCTAGAAGCAGAAGTGGGTGGATTTCTGTGAGTTCAAAGACAGCTTGTGAGCTCCTGGCCAGCCAGACCTACAAAGTGAGACCATGCTTTAGAACCAAAACTTTTTTTTGCAAGTATACTGGGAGGGGTGGTGAGAGTGAGGCAGGCACAAATGGGTCAGGGGGAGAGTGCCTGACTCTTGTGAGGCCTTGGGTTCCATCTCCAGCACCATAAAGAAAAAGCACTAAGGCTCCTAATAGTGGCCCACAGCCATAACTGAGGAGGCTGAGGAAGCAGGGTCAGAAGTTCCCAGCCTTGAACCATGGAGTGCCTTGGTGGGTAGAGGGGCTTGACACTAAGTCTAACACTAGAGCTCCATCTCTAGGACCTAAAAGGAGAGAACCAACTTTTCTGCAAGTTGTAATTTCACCTCCAAAAGTGCCCAGTGGCTATGTGCACACCTACAGCATAAAATTTAATAAAATGTGTTTTAACGAGTCCAAGGGCACCTGGGCTACATGGTGAGGCGCCTTCTTGAATAAAGATATAACCAGGCAGTGGTGGCGCACGCCTTTAATCTCAGCACTCAGGAGGCAGAGATCTCTGTGAGTTTGAGGCCAACCTGGTCTACAGAGCAAGTTCCAGGACAGCAGAACAGCTAGAGCTGAAAAAAAAAAAAAAAGCATCTCTGCAGCCCCCATTATTTATTTTATTTTGAGAAGGGTCTTGCTATGTAGCTCTGGCTGGCCTGGAAGTCAGAGATCTACCTTGCTTCTGCTCCCAAATGCTGAGATTAGACCCTGTACAGAGGACCAGGGTTTGATCCCCAGCACTCACAGGTCGGCTGACAATCACAATTCCAGGGGATTCAATGTCCTCTTCTAGCCTGGTCAGGCATCGCACACACATGGTGTACAGACGAGCATGCTCGAAAAACACCACTCAAATAAAATAGATAATAACCCCACACACTACCACGGTTCAGTAGTTCAACATGTAATTCAGAAATACAGCCCTTCAGGTGGATCTCTGTGAGTTCGAGGCCAGCCTGGTCTACAAAGCTAGTTCCAGGACAGCCTCCAAAGCCACAGAGAAACCCTGTCTCGAAAAACCAAAAAAAAAAAAAAAAAAAAAAAAAAAAGAAGTACAGCCCTTGCCCAGTATTTGGGAAGTCCTGGGTTTAATCATCAGCCCTGGAGGTTTTTAAAAAAAGAGTTTATATATCTGAAAGGAAAACAGGTAGAGCGGGAGGGGAGGTGTATAGGAGCAAAGTAACATGCTGCTGTTTTAAAACGTGGCCGATATTTACATTTACTCGGGTAAAATACCAAGGAAATTTGTTATCTGGGGCAGGAGGGAGGGAGAAAATTTAATTTTGGCATACTGTGCAAATACGCACGTGATACACACACACACACACACACACACACACACACACACACACACACAGAAGTTGTTCTGTAGACTCTCTGGCCTGGCCTTCAACTCTCAGAAAGCCTTCTGCCTCAGCATTCTCGGATTATATATCCAATCTGTGGTCAGGTTTTGCCGCCCCGAACCCCCGCCCAATATGTGTGGGAACCTCAGCTGCACTTCCCGCAAACGAGGGACGGGAGAGGTCCCGGCTCGGCCGACCTTGCCAGGCCTGGCTCGCTCACCTGTGGCTCCAAAAACCACCACCACTTTCTTGTCGGCCATGGAGCCCAGGGCACAAGGAGCTCGATCCCAAGAGTTCTGTCTGGCAATACCCAGGGCCCCAGATTTCTGCTTCCAGTTCGTAGATCACAACTCGAGTGACAAAGGCTAGGGGGGGAGGAGCTGGGGGGGGGGGGAATGGGGTTTGGCGGGATTCCCCAGACTGCTGCAAATTACACTAAAAGAGGGGAGGGGTGCAATCTTATGCAAGCTGCCAGACCCCACTGCAGCCTCCAGGCCACGCTTGCAGAGCGCCTCCCAGCTGTACTGTGTATGTGCCCAACCGGTTGCCAGGCTTCCAAGCTCCTGTGGTCCTGGTCCTGACCCTGCTCCGGCTCACTCAACCTATCCTCCCCCGCTCCCCCTGGCTCAGATGGTTCCTCCCTTCGTGTGTCGGCAGCATCGGGTTTAAGCGTTTGCTGGAGCGCACTGTCGGGAGTGTATAGGTCCCTTTAATCACAAGCGCACGTGGCATGTGACTTGGATGGGGGTGAGAGGTGGGGTTTCTTCTGGATGGAATACCTGTTTTAGCCTCCTGAGTGCTGGAATTAGAGGTATGGATTACCATGCTTGGCTCGTTATATATACATTATATGAAACATGGATCTAAACTCACAAAATGTTTTTGGCATTATCATCATCATAATTATTATGGATGAGGTCCCACAATGTAGTCTCGTCTGGCCTGGAACTTGATAAGTAGACCAGGTTCTGCCTCACCAGTACTGGTGCCACACCTGGCTTGGTTACTATTTTAGTAAATACATGAACATCTATCTTCACTGACTATCACCTAATGATTAAGTGTCCATGCTCTTACCCCTCTGCGGCCATCTGTGGGACTCCTTTCTATCACTTTTGCAGGACTACGGTTTTTTTTTAACTTTTTTTTTGGGGGGGGGGGATGTTTCCATATACGGTTTCTCTTTATAGCTCTGGCTGTCCTGGAACTCGCTCTGTAGACCAGGCTGACTGTTGTTCTTTGCTGCAGCTTCGGGCCATGAAACACGATCCACCAAACTCAACAAACCCTCATGGAGTTTATTGGAAAAGGGAGCAAGGGGGGGGGGGGTTGCTTGCTTCTAAAGGGAAAGGGAGTGGTTTAGAACGAGTCTCAGCAGCTGGGGCCATTGAAACTGGAGTCACGGAGCTGCCATTGGCCCAGCTCCATTCAGTCCCAGTTCCACATGGTTTCTGCATGCAGAGTCCTTATGCAGCCACCTAATGCCTGCACGACACAGCCATGCAACCTTTGACAGCCTTTGAGCTGTCAGTGAGGAGTGATCGATCACCTGTCAAGATGGATCCGGGGTGAGGGAAGGTAGCCAAGAGAAGAGCGATCCCAGGGCAAGGAGAGAGCCCAAGGATTAGAGAGGCCCTGCGACCAGGAAAGGTTCCCTAAGGGGAAGGCCCAGGCCCAGGAGAGGGCTGGCTCAGAGTGACAGGCCGGTGCTAGGGAGAAACCACAGGGCGGGAGGAGGAGAGGAGCTGGGAGCAGGAACAGGACCAGGATGCCCAGGACCCGGGGAGAGGGAGAAGCCAGGGTTACCAACACTGACCTCTGCCTCCCTGGTGCTGGGATGAAAGGTGTGCAACCACCACCGCCAGGCGTCTGACATTTTTATGGATGTATAAAATGTGTTTTTATCACATTCACCCAGCCCCCTCCCCCCCTTACCCTTTGTTGTTGTCCTCCTACTCCTGTTGATCCCTTACCTTTCCAGCCAGTCTTTCTTCTATTTTCACATTTGCTGTTTTCTTATTCTTTAAACATTTTAAAAAGTGTTTACATTTTATTAAAATTATTTTAAACATTTCTAAAAAGCTTAAAACACTTTACTCTTAACTTTGTGTATATGTGTCTGTGTACATGTGTGCAGGGATCTGTGAGGAACAGAAGGGTGTCTGGTCCCCTGGAACTGGAGTTGCATGTGGTTGTGAGATGCCTGATGTGGGTGCTGGGGACTGAACTGGGATCCTCTGGAAGAGCAGCAAGTACTCTTAACTACTGAGCGCTCTCTCTAGCTCCCCTTTTTTTCTTAATGATTTTTTTTAAAGATTTATTTATTTATTATGTATACAATGTTCTGCCTGCATGTATGCTTTCACACCAGAAGAGGGCACCAGATCTCATTATAGATGGCTGAGAGCCACCATATGGTTGCTGGGAATTGAACTCAGGACCTCTGGGAGAGCAGCCACTGCTCTTAACCTCTGAGCCATCTCTCCAGCCCTCTTAATGATTTTTTTAAGAATTTCATTTTTTTCGTAATGATTTTATTAGGGTTGCTTACAGGAGGAGCATGGGTATCCATTTATGAATTTATTTTACACATGTCATCTCTGCCACCCTACTATGTTATGCCAATGAGACAAAGAGAACCCATGGCTTTCTGAGCAGGTGGTGGGCATGGGTAGAGCATTGCAAACATCTGTTAAAATCACTATTTGATGTTAATGATAAGCTCTTCAGGTTCTTATCGTAAGCATTCCTGCTTCATTTTCCTGCAAATAAGCACAGCCTTTGGGGAGTGGGGCAATCTAATTCCCTAATTAACAGCTGGTGGACTTTCTCCTGCTGCCTTATGTAACAGAACTGTCAAACAGCCAGCTGGACTAGATTATGCCAGCACCAACCAGCTGGAACGCTCCACAGACACCTGGAGAAAACTAACAATCATAAAAATTGCTTTAGTTCCTGAAGGCACAGCTCTGGGGAGGACTGTTGGAAGATCTGTTAAACCAATTTATTGCTTATCAAGAGCCTCAGTGAACTCTAAATAATCTTGCAGCCATTTCCATCTCAGAAGAGGGGGAACGTGTCTCCTTGTGCTCTAGCAAAAAGATGACCATGATTGGTGCTTAGAGTCAAGGCAATGCCTGGCGTTGGTGGCGCACGCCTTTAATCCCAGCACTTGGGAAGCAGAGGCAGGCGGATCTCTGTGAGTTCGAGGCCAGCCTGGTCTACAGAGCGAGTTCCAGGACAGCCTCCAAAACAATACAGAGAAACCCTGTCTCGAAAAACCAAAAAAAAAAAGAGTCAAGGCAATGATTAGTCCAAGCACAAATCTCAGTGTCTCTCATAGGTGCTTAAAAGGCAAGACTGGCTCAAAACACATAGCTGAAGTATAGCTGAAGTTTGTCCAAAGCAAATGGCTATGGTTGATCATTGGTCCAAACACCCTTCTCAGGCTGCTTAGGCTCACCTAGTGGGCTGGCCATGAGACTTCTCCCTATGAGCCTCAGCTGGTGGCTTCTCAACTAGAGTGTTTTTGGTTTTGTGTTGTTTTTGTTCAATTCTCTTTTCAGTAGAGTTGGCAGAGTTAAGATGGAGGAACACCGGGTGGTGATGGCGCATACCTTTAATGCCAGGGCTGGGAAGCCTGTCCGGTGTTCTGTGTTGCGTGGATTGGCCAAATAAAGAGGTCATGATAAAATGAATTTTTTAGTCCTGTGTGGCAACAGGTGCACCTGAACATACAGAGGTAGAAACAGAGCATTAGGGGGCTGGGTAGACAAGTCAGCGAGAGAAAGTAACAAGAAAAATAAAAGACCCAAAGACAGATATTGGGGCTCACCCTAGAGATCAGGGAAGCAAAGTGACAGGGGACCGATAGCTCTTACCACTACCTCAGGCTGACTGGGCTGATCCTGCTGCCTCTCCCCATCATGGCTGGAGAATGAATGCCCGATGCTGAGACCTTGCTCCTGTTTTATATACCTCCCTAGTGCTGGCGTTAAAGGTGTGCGATCCCAGGTGCTGAGATCATCTGTGTGCGAGCTGTTTCTCTTTAGAACTGGATCAATCTTGGGTAGATCTGGGTGGCCTTGGATTCACAGAGATCCATCTACCTCTTAATCCTGAGTCTTTTTTTTTTTCTTTTTTCCCCCGAGACAGGGTTTCTCTGTGGCTTTGGAGGCTGTCCTGGAACTAGCTGAGGTAGGAGAGTCTTGAGCTCCCAGACTGTATAAGCAAGATCTTTAAAAATTTTTTTAAAAGAAAAATTTTGATTAAGTGCATTTGTGTGTGGTTATGTACATGTGCTAGTGGAGGCCAGAAGAGGGCGTTAGTTGCCCTGAGGTTGGACTTACAGGCAGTTGCTAGATGGCCTACTTGGGTGCTGGAAATAGAACTGGCTCCTCAGCGAGAGCATCTCTCTAGTCTCCACAATCAAGGTCCACAAAGGAGACTAGGCAGAGGCGGACGAAGAAGGAGTCATGATTAGCGTTTGCACTGGAACTGCCCGGGGCTGGCTCATGCGTGCTAAGTGCCAAGTTGTCAAAAGGTACATGTCGAAATTGACAACTTGGCTCCTACTGCAAGAAAACTATGTCACTGCAAAACGTTCGTTCTTTTTTCTTTCTCTCTTTGTTTTTTGGGTTTGTTTTATATTGTTTTTTTTTTTGCGGTGTTAAAATGCAATAATCCTTTTTCGAAGAGTTACATCTCCAATCCCCAACCCTGTTTTGTTGTTGTATGTTTTTGTTTTGTTTTGGACAAACTCTCGGAGTTTAAGGTTTCCTTAAACTCAGGGCAATCCTCCTGCCTCAGCGCCTCTCTCCCCGCGCCGAGTTCTGGGATTCCAGACTTGAGCCACCACTCTCAACCAACAAACAGTTGGCTTTTGTTGACACACTTCCTCTCCTGAATACTACCATTGCCGACTCTGCGTGGCAGGCGGTGTCAGCGTAGCCACACGCCGCCAGCAAGCTGCGGCGCGCTTGGGGGCGTGGCCTGCCAGCCCCCGCCCCTCTCTGCGTGCGCACGTCCCGCCGTCCTCGCGCTAGCCCGCTCGGCTACCGCGGCGCTGAGGAAGCCACTGACGCGGCGACTGACGGACCTGCGAAGCGGCTGCGGGTGAGTGGCCCGCACCGTTCCCGGCCTTGCTCGTCCGGGTCCTCGCTTGCTGGAAGCCTTCCTCCAGAGCTCTGATCGGCTGGCTCGCGGCGACTCGGCCGCCAGCCTGAGGCGACATCCGGACGAGGGGGCGGCCGGAAGCGGGCTGAGGCCGGGTATCGGGAGACGGGGGTCGGGGAGGGGGCACCGAGCGGGCCTGGAGCGTCAGGTGAGCCCGAAACTGCTGGTGCCGCGCTCTAGAAGACCTTTGACCTCCGGACCCAA